CCCGCCTGACCCTTGCCCAGAGTGCCCCTCTGGCTGGTCCAGGAGCCCAGGTCGCTGCCCGCTGCGTTGTGGGAGAAATAGTGGGCGAGGCTGGGGGGGTGGTGAATGAACTCCCCAGAGGCAGTGGGCGGGCGCCCCGTGGGAGGAGGGTCTGCGCCCCCGGGGGGCTTGAGCTCTCCCGCACTCTGCTCCAGGGGCGCCAGCCTGCCCAGTTCCCTGCTGGGCTGTCTGGTCCCGGTGCCGACCTTTGGCACAGAAACAGGTCCTGGCCCAGCCTCCGCGTCCCGGAGTGGGCATTCCCGGTCATCGCGGCCCGTCTCACGGCTCGTCCCTGGGCGGCCTGGCCGGGTCCCTCGTCTGTCCAGCCGCCCAGCCCGCCTGCCGGCCGGGAGTAAAACTAAACTTTTCACCTCACTAAATTGCCCCCTGACACCGTCCGCACAGCCCCACCGGGAGCCTGCGGCGCGCGGCCCCCCGCACGGGACTCGGGGCGGGGCCGGGAGTTTCTATGCCGGGGACGCCGGTCACCGCACACGGTGGGGAAAGGGCTGCGGCGCTGTCCTCGGCCCAGGGAGCCTCTCCCTGCAGCCCGGCACTGGGGATCCCCGCCGAGCTGGACCCTGGGCCCAGGGCTGCCACCAAGGACCTCCTGGGGGTCTCCTGGCGGGGGTGGCAGCAGCTGTCCACACCGGAGGCCAGCCCCAGAGGGACCGAGGTCCTCGAGGCAGGTGCAGCGTCTGCATCACCACCCAGAGGCTCAGAGAACCCCCGTCCCACAGCGCCTCACTTCTGGGTCACCCAAGGCAGATGACCCCCCACCCCCAGTGAGGCTCTGGCACAAACCACCTGCACCTGCCCCCGGGGGAGGCAGCAGCCAGGGCCCACCCGAGCACACAGTGTGCTCCCCCTCCCGTCCCCTCCCTGCCCTTCCCCCTCCCCACCTCCTCCCTGCCCTCTGCCCCTTCCCGCCCCTCCCCCTCCCTTCCCTGCCCCTCCCACACACGCCCTGCAGGTGGCTCCCACCCGCCCCTACGAGCAGCCACTGAGCATCTTCCCTGCTTCTCCACACCCAGGTTGGGGCCAGGTGGGGCCAGGGCCCACCCCTTCCCTGCCCCCCCTCACTGTGCCCCATTCTATGCTGGGCCCGCCCCCTCTGTGTGCCTAGACACCGGAGGGAGTATCAGAGTGCCCACCCAGGGCAGCCTGTGGAGATGCAGGTGCTCCCGGGGGCTGTCAGGCTGCACTGGGCAGACTCCCACACTCCCTCCCCGGGTCTCTCGGCTCTGCACTCCCCTCAAGGCCATCCCCTCTGGGTGCCTTCTGGCTTGGGCTTGGTGGGGGTCCTGTGGGTGACCCGGGAACGGCCCCTCACGCCCCCTCTTGGAACCAGGACCCCAGCCAGCCGCTCCCCCAGAGCCCACCCGCTGCCCACACGCCCAGCCCCAGACCGACCTCACTGACCTCTCTCCCAGACAGCCCCCACCCTTGGGGGTCCCCTGGCCTCCCCACTGCCCGCCCCCCTGCTCCAAGTGGCAGCAGCTGGGCATTTCCCAGACTCACAAGACAGCCGCTCCCAAATCGCCCTCAGAGCCCTCAGGGGTTTTCCCTCACCGGGAAAATGTGCCCAGCCCAGCTCCCACCCTCCCTCCCCCAATTCTCCCGGCCCCTGGGCCTGGCTCTACCGGCTCCCTGGGTTTATGGCAGCCCCTGCCCACCCCCCCAACGGCGGCCCAGGGTGACCGGCAGGGTGGGGCAGAGAGAGGGTGGGGGTGGGACCTAGTGCACCGAGGCCCTTTCTGTCCACAGGGGTTTGTGCCCCTGGCCAGGCCCCTCCTCTGTCCCCCCCCCCCCCCCCCGTGACTCACCCGTTCTGGGACAAACCCTCCCCTAGTGGGAGTTTCCTGCAGGCCATGGGCAGTGAGGGGCATGGAGCCCTCTGTGACTGGGCTGCTGCTCCAGGCAGGACCCGGCGTCGCCCGGTTGCGGCCCCACCCAGTGTCAGGAGCAGCGGGCACCACCGAGGCGCCGCCTGCGTCCTCTGGCCGTGGGGTCCCCCCCCCCAGCTCCAAGGGCCCAGCCCCTCCCAACTCCCAACTGCAGCGACCTTGGGGCTTGGGGGACCATGGCCTCCCTCCTCCCTGCCCCAGGTGCTAGTGTTGTGGTTTTTGGAGTCTGTGGGTTTGCAGAGCGGGGTCTTTGGGGTCACGCTGGGGAAGGTGTCCCCAGAGCTCCCGTTTCAGCGGCTCGCGGCGAGTTCAAGGCGAGTTTCTCCACGAGACAGAGACGGTCGTTAGAGTTAAAGGGCAGGTTTATTAGGGCAAGGCACAGAAAAGGAAAGTACACTTGCATAGACGCCAGCGGGCAGGAAGCGCTGCTGAGAGGCCTGCAGGGTCGCAGGCGGGCGGCCTGAGGAGGGCAGCCTCCGCTGAGGGGGTCCTGGCAGGGACAGAGCACGGGCAGGCAGGAGGCTGCTGCCCTGCAGAGGAGAGTTGGAGAAAAGCACCTGCACAGGCACAGGTGGGCACAGGGAGTGCTGCCCCGGCCAGGGCGGAGACCGCCCCGCTGTAGCTGTCAGTTGGTTGCTAATTTTGTTTTTGATTTTAAAGATTGATTTATGCATACAAGAGCTGGGGTACAGGTCAGAGGTGCGGGGGGCGGGGGCAGTGGTGAGAGGATCCACCAGAGACAGAGTGGGGAGCAGCAGAACAGGCAGACTGACTGAAACCCACTGCTGGGGGGAGCGGCGGGGAGACAGGAGAGGTCTGCCGCGCCATGTGGGTCGCTCCCTGGCCAGCGATCGCGCTGCAGTGGCTGCAGTTGTGTCTCAACCCCTTGCGCCACCAGGGAGGCCCTGGTTGCTCATTTTGGATCACTATGTAGAATCTGAGAGGGACTGGAGAGTCTACGGTGGGCTCAATCTCCGTGTCTTTGCCTTTGGATGTGCAGCGCAGCTCGAATACCTGCTTGGGTGTCATGCTTTGTAATCGAGGCGTCTGAGCCCAAGGATACTAGTTTCCGCAACTGTGTGGCCTGCACCTGAGGATCTTGGTTCCCACAGCTGTGTCAATGGCTGTGCTGGTCTCTTCTACCCCCACCTCCTTGTGAGCCAGCCTTCTGGTCTTGTGGCGCCTCCTTTTCAGTTTTGTTTTTTTCTATTCTTGTCCTCCATCAATAGCAGGCCAGGTGCCCCGCTGTGCCTCCTTCCTTGTCCACCGCTGGTGCTCTGGGAGGACAGCCAGGGCGCCCACCCAGCGCCCGGGGGGTGGGGTGGGGTGCTCACCTGCACCCAGAGCTGCAGGAACGGGCAGGCCCAGTCCAGCCCCAGGGCACCCTGGACGGGTCTCCTGGGACCACCCCCACCTCCCCATCCTTCGCCCCCACTGCCAGTGTCAAGCCTGGGAGGCAACAGCAGGCCAGGAGACACTTTAAGGGGTGCTGGGGTTGCTGGGTGAGGGCTGCAGTGTGGAGGGAGAGGGTGATGCTAGGAAGGGGCTGGGAATGAGGCCCCCTCCCAGCCCCTCTGTCCCTCAACCCTTCCTGTGAGTGAACCGGCTTCTCCAGGTCCCCGTCCCTGCCCCAGGAACCCTGTCCGGACAGACATGCCGAGGACCGGGCCTTCCTGGCAGGCCATCTCCGACCCAGTGGTTCCCAGCCCTGAGCTTGGCTTTCCAAGTAGCAGAGAGGCCCGTGCACAGGGGTAAGGGGTGCTCAGCGCCCCCCAGGGTGCCCTCAGGAAGGACGCGGGCTCCCCCTCACCAGCCCCTACTTCCAGGAGAGGAAACAGGCACAGAGTAGGCAGCCCCACCGCCACAGGCCAGGCCCCGAGCTGGACTCCAGGCCACTGCGGCCCAGCCCGCTCCCCAGAGAAACCCTTCACAGCCACTTCTGAGATCAGCTTTATGTCAGGCTAGAAAGCCCCGGGTCTCGTCCTGGGTACAACAGCAGTGCCATCAAAACCAACAACACCCATGCTCTGCAGAGGCACGAAGGCCTCCGTGCCCCATGCACACGCCGGCTCCTGGCCACAGTACCTGTGCAAGGCCCGGACCTCATCTCGGCCCTTCAGAGGCGCAGAGACTGAGTCGCACCAGGGCCTGGAGGAGCCCCTCGTGCTGAGGGTCTGGGGCCAGCAGAGACTAGGAAGGTAATGGAACCCCTAGAACAGGGCGATGCGCCCCACAGGGCAGAGGGTGGATGGAGGCAAAAGAATGACCCCCCCCATGTCCACGTCCTGGTCCTTGGGCCCCTGGCAAGGGCCGGTTCCGTGGCCAAGGGCAGTTATGCTGCCGGTGGGATGAAGGCCGCTGGTCAGTCCCGTGACAGAGGGGGAGGTACAGGCCTCCGGGTGGACACACGGCCAGAGGGTCGGAGAGCGCGGGGCCCGGTGCAGGAGGCAGGCGCAGCGTGCGCGGCGTGGGGGCTGCGGCCGCCGGCCAAGGGAGGGCCACCAGGCTCGGGCAGCCGTGGGAGCGGAATGGCCAGCAAGTCTCCCCGGAGCCCAGCGCAGCCTGCCTGGCCTGTGACCTGCAGGACCCGAGGGGTGACGAGCGCGGGTTGGAAATCTTTGTGGAACCCTTGAGGGTGGCGCCGGGGACCACTTCCTGGCCGGGCCCCGCCTGGGGCTGAGGGAGGCTGGGGTGTGACGTGGGTCTGGGCCCCCTGCCCTTCCAGGCCCTGCCTTCCCAGCAGCTCCGCCTTCCATCTGGCCGGGCAGAGTCCAGCAGTGGGCAGCGAGGCCCGGGGCTGCCCGGCGTGAAGAGGCCGCTCTGGCGCACGCGACGGCTCGGGGCCTCTCCCTCCGTCAGTGCCCTCGGGCAACCGGCGTCTGCAGCTGCTCGGGGCGCCCCGTGGGTGCCCTGTCCCCACAGGCGGATCACCGGGCCAGGGCTGTCCAAGGCCAGCTGCTCAGCCTGGGCCTCAGCAGGGCTGGGCGGCGGCGGCTCTGCCAGGCGGGTGAGGTGGGTCCAGGGCTGGGCGCACACGGCAGGCAGGCGCAGGCAGAGCTAGCTGACCTTTATCAGTGAGAACAGGGGCACGGAGGGCTCCTGCCCTCCGACGCTGACGTCCAGGATGCTCCGGATGCTCCTGGCGTCGCTGCTCGACAGGTTCCCCTTGATGGCCAAGATGGCGCTCAGGTGCCCTTTGCTGGCGAGGGGAGGTCCGGTCAGTCTGACCTGGTGCCCAGGCCCCGCAGCCACCCCTGCCCACATGGGGCCCTCGCTCCCCTGGCCGCCCATCCACCGGAGCCCGCCGAGCCCCTGCCCATGCAGGCCTTCTGCTGGTCCCTCCTCCTGGAACGCGTGAGCCCGCGCTGGCGCCGACCAGCTCCTCTGCCCTGCGGGTCTCGGCTGGGATGTCACCCCCCCATGAGCCTTCCCACCCCCAAAGTCAGCAGCTTTCATCACTGCCGAGCTTCCCGGCCTGTCCTCTGGTGACTTGTCCTGCTGCTCGTGCTCAGCCCACCACAGCGGGCAGGGAGGAAGGCTGGGCGGGTCTGCCTGGTGCCTCGAGTGTCCTGTACCCCGGGCAGACCCTGGCACCCTCCAGGGACGAGAGATGGCTGCTGGGATAATGGTGGGCGGCAGGGGAACAAGTGGGGTAGATGGTGGATGTGTATGTGGGTGGGTGGTGGGTGGGAGGTTGGCTGGGTGGGTGAGGGGTACACAGGTGGGTGGTGGGTGAGCAGACGGATGGATAACTCGGTCCCTGGGAAGATGAGCAGGTTGGGGGCTGGAGTGGTGTGGGAGGGTGGGCGGCTGGGTGTGCTGGTAACCAGGTGGGGGGTAGGGGTGGAGGGGGCCGGCGGGGCTGGCCAGGCTGAAGCGGGCAATCTAACTCAAGGCTGCTCGTGCCTCCCTGCCACGTGAGGCTCAGCGCAGAGCAGCCACGTCCCTGGCTCCCCAGATAGAGGCGGCCGGGGCCCCGGAGCCCCAGGCTGAGGCCCCAACTCCACATGGCCCTGCATAGCCGCGCAGACTCGGGACTCTGGCCCACGCCGGGCAGGGCAGTGCCCTGACACCAGAGCCGGCTGCAGGGCTGACTGCCGCCTCCCTCTGAGACGGTGGGCCTGTGTCCTAGGACGTGTGGAGGTGCCCTGCGGGAGGGGCTGCCCGGCTCCACGAGGGCCGGAGTGAGCCGCAGTCGGGGGTGCTGGCGCACTGGGGCCCACGCAGGCATGGCCAGCACCCCACGCCCACGGGGCTCCAGCGGCCAAGCTGCTGCCAGGTCCGGGTCTGCTCTCACCTGAAGTCGGGATACTGCGCGGCATAAGCGGCCACCGAGATCTTGATGGCGTTGGGGTCCTGCAGGCGAATGATCTCGGCCAGCGCGGGGAGGGCGTGCCGCAGCCAGCCGGCGTGGGAGCCCTGTGGGCAGAGCGGCTTGAAGGGCGTCGCCCCGATCCCATGCCCGAAGGGCCGGACCCAGAGAGGCGCAGGCGGGCACTGTGGGGTGGGCTCACGTGCTGCGTGCAGAAGTCCCAGATGGCCTCTGCGTTGGCATCGATGTGCCCGGCCAGCTGCTGCTGCTGCTCCGCCGTCCTGAGCACCAGGCGCCGCTTGCTGAGGCGGCCGATGTACTCCCGGACCAGGTGCAGGTGCACAGCCTCCATGAGCTCCTGTGGGGAGCAGCAGGCTGGGCGTGGCCACGGGCCCTCGCCCCCACCTGTGGGCACCGCGTGCCCGGCAGCCCATGCGCGGCACGTCCCCCTCACCTCGCGGAAGCAGCCACGCAGCGCCGAGAAGCCCGGCAGCGTGGCCTGCACGGCGGCCAGGATCCCCTCCAGGGTCTGCTCCGGGGTTGCCCAGCGCGTCTGCGTCAACTGCCGGAACAGCGGCTGCGAGGGCGGGCGGGCGTGTGGTCACCCGCGTGTGGACACGCACCGGCCGGGGCAGGGCGGGGCTCCAGGACCCCAGGGCCGGCACAGTTAGCGGGGCGGCCTCCGCGCCCTCCGGCAAGGTTGCCCGCTGTGGCTCAGCGCAGACCTCAGACCTGCAGGCCCTGCTGCCTTCCCCACCGCCCCCTAGTAAATAAATTCCTGCACAAACAGGGCCTGCAGCCAGGGCGTCCGGGCCGGGCCTCCACAGCGGCAGGGCGCCCCTCTTCTCTCCACGAGGCCCCGCCTCACCCTCTGCTAAAGGAACCAGGGGCTCTGAGGCTTTCCTGGCCCACAGCCCACGTGGCCGCCGCCTCCCCACAGGCTTGGGACAGGGCGGGGAGCCAGAGGAAAGTGAGGACACTCTCGGGGGGCTGGGCGCAGCATGAGTGGGGGAGGGTGCTGGGGCTTCCTCTCCTTCCCCTCAGCCCCCTGCTGCCCCTCTGAGGCCACCCCTGGCTGGGCCCCCCCTCCAGGGCCCCTCACCAGGGCAGCTCCAGCCGCACCACAACTGGCCCCCAGCCTCCCCGGCCCGGTCTTGCCTGCCAGTCCTCCCTGCCCCTCCTGTGCTGCCTCAGCCCACACCCCAGGGGAGAGGCCCCCGCTACCTTCAGGGCCCCAAACAGGTCCTGGAGCAGGGCGTCCAGGCCGCGAGCCTTGAGCTCCTTCAGCGGGGCCAGCAGGTAGCTCGGGACGTCCTGGCGCATCTGCCACTTCTCCACAGACGACCTGGAGGCCGGGGCTGCGGTCACTGCCTGCCCAGCCTAGGCCGTGCCCAGGCCAGGCGACCGCGGGGCATGCCCAGACAATCTCTTCGCCCCGACCCTCGATGGCTCCCACGGCGGTGGGACACGGGCCTCTCTGCGCGGGGGCCGCCTCCCGAGGATTGCTCTCCAGGCAGCGGGAGCAGGTGCAAGCAGGGCCGCACCTCCGGGCCGGCCGCCCCCAGCCCTGTCCTCCCAGCTCGCTGCTGCGGCATCTCCCCTCCCGCCACACCCCTGCCCAGCTACAGCGGCAGCCCCCGCCTGGTAGCCCTCACCAGAACAGCTGGCAGCTGTTGATGTTGGCCATGACGTTGGCCCTGTAGTTTGTCAGATGTTTGCTTCTCTCCAGAAATTCCTCAAAGGAGCGCTGGTAGCTGGTGAGGTGGAAGGGCATGTGGGAGCACACGCAAGACGGGGGTGGGGGGTGGGGGGTGGGGGGTGGGGTGCCAGTGAGCAGCTTCCCACCAGGGCCCAGGCCAGGCCCTGGGAGCACTGAGAGTGAGAGCCGGAGGAGGGACCGAGGTTGGCGGGCGCGTCCTCAGAGGAAGCAGGGGAGACCGGGGTTGCTAGAGGGGGCAGGCCTCAGCCCCCCACAAGCAGCCCCTGTGCCACAGAGGCTGCTCCCAGGCCTGGCTGAATGGGGGGGTCTGCTCCCCTGGGGCTCAGCAGGAAGGTGCAGCAGGAAGGCTCCCTGGGGGGCACTGACCTGATGGGATGCCCCCGGCCCGCACACGCAGACACCCACCTCCTCAGGAACATGAACAGCTCGGCCTGCAGCACCGGCCTGGTCTGCGCGCCCAGCTCCAGGGTGATGCCCTCGGCCTTGGCCTGGCTCTGGGAGAGGATCTGTGGGGGGGGTGGGGGGGCTGAGCTGAGCAGCAGCCCTAGGGCTGGCTGGGTGCTGGTGCCGGCGCCAGGCAGGGGCCCGAGGGGCAGGCTGCTACCTGGATGACGTCGATGGCCAGCTCGCTGTGGCAGTGGCCGTCCAGGCTCTGGGGGGCCTCGTCCTGGGCCCAGCGCTTTGCCTCCAGCTCCAGGGCTCGGCCCATCAGCTCCCGCACGCTGGCCTGGGGCGGGCAGGGGGAGGGCAGCACTGAGCCCACCATCCTGACCACGTGCAGTGCTGGGGCGCCCCCCCCCCCTTCTGCTGCCCCCTCCCCGCCCTCCGCCTGCCTGGGCTGGAGCTGGACTCACCGCCTCATTGGACAGGAACGTGGCCTCCAGCAGCCGGATCTGGCTGGGGGGCAAGAGGCTTCCCAGTTTGGCCCCCTGCAGCTCGGCTGCCAGCTTGGGGCTGTTGATGATGTCGCTGTGGGCAGAGGGTGGCCTGAGGGAGGTGTGCCTGGCACTGCCCCTCAGCAGGGCACTTCCTTCAGTGCCTTGTCTGGCTGCCCCAGAGTCCCGCTGGCTCCTCGCCCTCGCCTTGCCTCCCCATCTCAGGTGAGCCCCCCATCAGCTCAGCTGGGTGGAATCGTTGCGCTGGCTCTTACTCCGTCACCCCGGCTCCTGCTCCAAACAGCCCCCAAACTGACAGCCCAGGTCCTCCTACCCCCACCTGGCCACCAGCGGCTCTGCATGAGGCCTCCCCCCGACTCCTGTGTCCACCCTTGCCCCCAAGGACCCCACCTCACCCACCGCTCAAGTCTAGGCTCCTCCCTTTCAAGACCCCTCACCCCGATCATCGCGAGGGGCTCCGGGGCAGGCGGACATCCTGGGCTGACCCAGGCGGTGGTCAGGACCCCTGCTCTGGGCTCCCACCATCCCTGGCCTCCTGGCTCATCCCTCCCCGCCATGGTCACTGTCTGCGGCCCGGGAGCACAGGAGCCGCGGGTCCCAGCTCTCCCGGCCTGTTTCTTCCCCGCAGAATGTGACGGGGCCGGGAAACTAGAGCCGCCCGGGGGGCATCCCCGGGGCCAGGCCTCCTCCCCGCCCCTCGGTCCTGCAGCCCAGGCCGGCGCGGGGCTCACTTGGGGTAGAGGTTCTGCACCCAGAGCAGCAGCATGTAGGTGTCGCGCTCGCACAGCTCGAACTCCGCCATGGCCCCCAGCTGGGCCGCCAGGTGCTGGTGGTAGCTCTCGGCGTAGGCGGCCACGACGCCCAGCTCGGCGGGGCACACGGGCTTCAGCCGCTCCACCACGGCCTCCAGGTCCTCCCGCATGGTGCGGCCCATGTGCAGGAAGGCGCGCTCCAGCTCCGAGCGGCCGGCGGCGGCCTCGCCGGGCGGCCGGGCCAGGCGCTCCTCCGCGGCGCGCGCCACGTCCCGCCGCCACAGGCGCAGCCAGCCCCGCGGGCGCGTGGGCGCCAGCGCCGAGGGCCCGGGCCCGGCCTCCGCCGCGCGCCGGTCCTCGCGCTCCTGCTCGGCCAGCACGGCCAGCGCCTGGCGCAGCCGCTCGGGCGCCGCCTCCAGCGGCCGCCGCAGCAGGCCCAGCACCTGGTCGCGCAGCAGCGCGTACAGCGCCTCCACCTTGCTCTGGCGCCGCACCAGCTCCTCGGCGCTCGCGCCCTCCAAGGCCGCCGCGCCCAGCGCGCGCTCCAGCGCCAGCAGCGGCCCCGCCGCCTCCAGCCGCCCCTGCTCCAGGTCCGCCTTCAGCTCCTCCACTGCGCCCAGAAACCCGCGTCAGCGCGGCGGGGGCCCCGGGGAGAGGCGCGCGCCCCCAGAGGCTGACCCGCCCGCGCGCCAGGCGCCCCAGCGCGTCTGCCCTGCCGGCTCTGGGCCCTCGGGGAGGGCGGCCCACCCCGGAAGCCCCACTCCGGCCAGCGGGGGCCCCCAGCCCCCCGCGCCCCCAGCCTACCTGTGGGCAGCCGGCCATCCTGCCCTGCGCGCACCTCCGCCTGCGGCGGGCCCGGGGGCTCTGCCGCGCTGGGCTTTCCCTTCTTCTTCCACCGTTTGTTGAAGATGTGGAGCACGTCGGGGAGTCCTTTCGACTTCTTCTTCTTTTTCCCCTTCTCAGGGTCTTCCTCTTCCCTCTCCAGGGGGGCCGCGTCCACGGCGACCTCAGCGTCCAGCGGCAGCTCCGGGTCCTCAGAGGCCTCCGACTCTGCCTCCCACGAGGACGGCAGCTTCTCGGGGCTTGCAGGGAAGTCGGGGGGCCCTGGCACCGGCTGCCGGCCCGGAAGACCTTGGAAGAACATCTTCACCTTCAGCCTCATTGGCCCAGACCTGCAGGCCGGCGGGGGCCGGGACAGTGGTGGGGTCAGCGGTCACAGTGGACAGTCCCGCACACGCCCTGCAGTCAGGCACCAACAGCGCAGCCTCCCCGGCCCCAGGTTCCCAGCACCCTCAGCTCCTCTTCCCCTCCCGGCATCGCCCCAGGCGGGGAGAAGCAGGGTGCCAGCCCCTCAGGCAAGAGACCTGCCTCATCTTGGTTCTGGCAAGTCCTTCCTCGACAGCCCACCCTCTGGATGGCCGGAGGGACTGTAGGGCCTGAGCCCACCCTGGGTCCCGCGCGGCCGTGCTGCTGCCCCTGGACAGACCCAGAAGTGAGGTCCAGCGAGATGACTGAGCACCAGGCCGGGCAGGCAGGACTCAAACTCAGCCCCACCTTGCCAGGCGCTTCTGGTCTGGGGTCGGGTTGGGTCACCATGCAGAGACACGGCTGCTGGGCTGGGAGCACGGGGCAACCCCCTGCCTCGGGGCTCCAGTGTGCAGTAACCGTAGTGCCCCCTAAGTGCATGGGTGGGGCAGGACCTGGAGAGGCTTCCATGTGGGGGCAGAGGCCTGCGGGGCCCACGGGCTGCGGGGTCACACCATCACTCAGAACAGGAACCCAGGCTTCCTGGCTCCCACCTCATCCGCCTGTTCCCAAAAAGGGTGACATCACCACCACAAAAGCCTCCACCTGGCTGCCCGCCCCGCCCCCTCCTCGCTGCCATCCACAGTTCTTGTCCTCGTCTTGCAGAACCGACCAGGGGAATGCCGCATGTGCCTCTGGCCAACCCCTGGGCTTGGAAAGCAACTTGCCGGCTCCAGTCCCCCAGCCTCCGCGGCCCCCCCTTGCAAACCACATTCACAGAAACATCGCCCCCTGCACCCACCGCCCCTCCCATCGTCACAGCAAGGCCGGGATGGTGGGCAGGAGCCTGGCTGCCCCAAGGGGGTGTCCGGCAGTCTGAGGATGGGGCACACTCAGGGCAGGGCCTCCCTGGCCAGTGGAGTGACCTGTCCCACAGTGCCTGCCCCACCACCCAAAGGGAATGTGCCAGTGGCTCGTGCGAGAGGCGGCTTCCCTCGGCCCCGCAGCGCCCTCTGGCCTGACAGGCAGCTGGGGTGATCATCATCCGGGGGGAGATACTGAGGCAGGGGCTGGGCTGGGTGTGGAAGGCACTGGGCAGCTGGTGTGAAGGCTCAGCTCACGCCTGCCAGATGTGCCCAAGGCCCTGCTGCTCCCCCACCAGCCCAGCCCCCCATCCCAACCCCCGGTGCGGTTGAGCCACTTGGAGGCCAGAAAGGTTGGTTCCCCCACACACACTGGATTCACCAAATGCCCTGGCAGGGTCCGTCACTGCTGAGCCTCCATTGCCACCCCGATCCATTTGGGCTCCAGGACCAAGCAGGGGGTGCTCTGGGGCACCTCAAAACCAAGACCCCAGGCACAAGGCCACTGGGCACACGGCCCTGCCTCCTCATGCCCTGACTTCCCCTCACCGGCCCTGCCCTCCGCATGGCACAGCTGCTCAGCCCCACCCTGGTGACCGGCCCCCCTCTTCTGCCAGGTCGCTGGGGTGAGGGAAGGGCCACCCCGATGGCGCAGCTGCCTACTGACCTTGCCTGTCCTCACCACCCACGCCCCCAGCCCCCACAGATGCCAGGGTGTCCCGCCCCAGCCCCTGCAGTTACCGCACGACTTGGCCACCCCCACCCTTCAGGCTGGCAGCACCGGGACCCACCAGGCAGCTCCCCAGAGGTGCCCGGCACAGTGGGAGGTACCGCTGTGGGCTCAGCCTATGGCCAGACACCTCCTTCCATCGCAGGCTCCAGTCACCCCATCTGTGAAAGGGGGTGAGGACCCCCAATTCCCAGTACTGCCGAGAGGATGTGGCAGAACCCCACAGCCAAGGGCCGGCGCTGGCTGGGCTCGGGGCGGGTGGGGTCTGGGCCCGGGTCTGTTGGCCCCTCATGGCCCGGGGCCGCGGCCACTTCCTTCAAGCCCAGCTCTAGGCTGGCGCCCCACGGGAAGAGGCTGCCCAGGCACTGCAGGCGCTCACCCCAGCTTCTCCAGAGGCCCACGCCTCCTCACTCTCTTTCCGAGGCCGGGGTCCGGGTGCCACCTCCTGCAGCCTCCAGCCCGGCCCCTCTTCCTGCAGCCACAGGTGGGTGCCCGTCCCCGCTGAGGACACCCGGACACCGCAGGCGGGGGCCTGGCCTTGGTCTGACAGCCACCCCGCCCGGCCCCGGCCACCCCTGCCGGCCTGCCTTTCTCCCAGGGCGGAGCCCTGCGCCGGACCCCACCTCGGCTGCTGCGCCCGGGCTCACTTTCCTGCGGGGGGTCTCTGGGCGGCCGCGGGCGGGACCGGCGGGGCGCGGGGCGAGGTGTCTTCTGTGCCGCGCCGCGCGCTGCTGCCCGGCGAGCCCGGGGCGGCCTCAAATAGTCCCCGCGCCCCGCCCCGCCCCGCCCCGCCCCGCGCGGCCGCCCCGCCCGCCCCGCCCGCCGCAAGCGCGGAAAACCCGCGGGCAGAGGCCCAGGCCCCCCCCCCCCCCCGCCCGGCCCCGCCACCGCGCACCAGGCCGGGAGCTGAGGGGCGGCGGGGCCACGGGCGCGAGGCCGCCCGGGAGGGGTGGGCGCCCCGTCAGCCTCGCGCGGACCCACGGTCGCTCTGATTGGCTGCCTGGCAGCCCCTTCAGCCCTGCCTTCCCGCGTCACAGAGCCCGCGCTCCCCAGGGCCCCGGCCCCCATGGGGTGCTAGGGATGCCCCCCCCCAGAACCCAGGATCCCCCTCCTGGCAGCGCTTCCCCTCTGGGCATCAACATGGATGTTTAGAGGCAGGGGAGGGGCCTTCCTGGAGGAGGCTGCTGGGGGGCCCAGGGCTGCTGGGGGGCACTGTCCCCTCGGGAGGGGCGGAGCACCCGCCCTGGACTTGATCACCCTCAGCCCTGGGCTGTGCCCTCCCCGGGACCTTGGGCAGGCCGTGCCCCTTCCGGGGCCTCAGTTTCTCCTCCGAAGACCCGTTGCTCTGGGTCTGACACGCCAAGAGCCGGTGCTGGTGAAGAGGACCCGCCAACAACCCCCTTCCCTGCCGCATACCCTGGGAGGCCAGAGCCACTCAGGAATTCCCCCTGGGCATGTCCCGGAGCACAGACCCAGGAGGGCCAGACGAGTGGGCAGGGGAAGCTGAGAACTTCCTTTTCCTCCAGGGGAGTGGTGGCCAAGTGCCAGGATGGGGGCACCATCACCTACTCTGTCCTGGGGTGCGGGGGGCCTCAGGAGGTGGCCTTACCTGGAGCCCATCTGTCTTCCTCTCCCTGAGGCCCCAGGGGGCAGAGCCCCCCACCCCAGGCTGGGAGAGGCATCGCCCCACCTGCTCCCCAGTGCAGTGCACAGGTGGGAGACCTAGGGCCGGGCCCCCTGCAGTCAGGCCCTCCAGGCCAAGAAGGGAGGGCAGGTCTTGGCTGGCAGCCTCGCGGCCCCTCTGTGCAAGTCCCCTCACTCCTGCTGGCTCCCTGCTCACCCCAAACCGGCTGGGAATCTGCTGCAGAATCCAAGACAATGGCGGGGGACTGTCAGCTGTGCAGGACCCACCACCCCTTCAGCAGGGGCCAGACTAACAGCTCACAGGGCAGGTTCTGGGTCCCCATCTGGTCCCCAGCTGCTCCAGGCCCCTCTCCAGAGCCCCAGCCGTCTTGCCCCTGTGGGCTGGCCTCAGCCAATTCCCCTTTCATGGGGTTCAGGGTTACAGGCCTGGAGCCCCCAACACAGGCCAGGCTGGCAGGCAGGAGCTGTTCCCACCCTCTCTGGACAGAGGAGGAAACAGCCCCCAGAGGCAGATGCTTCCCTGGGAAGCCACAGAGCAGCAAACACCCCGCTGTGGAGGCACACCTGAGGCTGGCAGGGTGCTCCTGGCCAGCTCCGGCCCCGCCCCGCCCACGGAGATGCACAGGGAGGAGAGTGGGCTCCTGGGCGGGAGGGCAGCAGCAGGCTGGCAGAAGACTCCCAGTCCAGCCAGGGCCCAGCAGCTGGCTGGGAGCCACGGGCAGCTCCTCGCTGGCCCCCAGGCCTTCAGTCACAGGCCGCTCTGGACCCACTTCCCTTCCCTTGGCTGGGCAACCACACTCGACTGTTCCAAGATGGCTGTGGCGTGCGTGGCCAGCGCACCATGGCGCTGTGCACAGGTCAGGGGCGTCAGCGCACTCACGGTCTCTGCTGCCCCCGCCCAGGACTCCCTCCTGCCCTGTGCACCCAGCCTCTGTCAGCATCACCTCCAGCCCAGCCCCGCCCTGCCGCTCCATGCCTCTAGGCTGGCCCCCCTCAGGCCTCGGGGAAGCTGACCGCCGAGAGGGCCTATTTCACGCAATGCAGTGTCCTCAGTGTCCAGGCTGAGTCCATTCAGAATTCTCTTTCTCTTTAAGACTAACTGGGGCTTGTTTATTCATTCAAATGTTGTGGGCACCACCCTGTGGCTGTGGTCAGCAGAGCTGCTGTGACTGTTCACAGCTGCCAAGGAAACTACCCAGGTGCCCCACGACAGATGCGTGGACAGAGAAGCGACGTGGACTCATGGAACACTACTCAGCCATGAAAAAGATGAACTCTTGCCATTTGTGATGGCTTGACTGGGACGGGGGATGGAGCTGCGTGAGATATGTCAGAGGAGAAAGTCGAATATGGAACGATTCCACTCATGTCAAGAAAAAAGGAAAAGGCAAACAAAACAAAGCTCTGACAACAGGCCTAGGAAATGGGTGCCTCTGCATTGCCCCTCACAGATGAGGACACTGAGGCCCGGGAGGGGCTGCCTGGCAGGGCTGGGTGGTCACTACTCCCGTGGGGACCCGCTCCCAAATCAGCTTGGTGCATGTCAGCCAGACACAGAGGACAGCCGGCCAGGGAGCTTCCATGCAGAGAGCAGAGGTGGAGTCCTCCTGGCCTCACACTGCTCCATCTTTGGGGGGAAAGACTTCTTTGCCTCCTGATGCCCTTGTTCTGGCAGGAGGGGTGGGCCCGGTGCTGGCAGCCTCTCAGCTGGAGCTGGGACCCAGGCTCAGTCCTGCGTGAGGCGAGTAGCGTGAGGTGAGTAGCGGTGGTGACACCCCCCACCCCATGAGAGCCGCAGGGGAGAGGCTGCTGGGAGAGGGGAGAAGGCAGAGGGAGGGCATTCTGTTGTCCCTGGGCCCATGGGTGCAAGTGGCTCATACACTGAGGAAAAGACCAGGCTGGGGAGGCTGCCCCAGGAGGACTAGGGTGGCGGCTCTGCTGGTGGTAGAGAGTCACAGGCAGTGCTCACCATGGGTAGCGCCCCGGGCCTGGGAAGCCAGGGCATTCCAGGATGCACCCTTCCCCCGCGGAGGCCCACTTCCCTCTGCCGGATGACTTGCACTTCCCACTGCTTTCACCCCAGCCCCTGCTGCTCCCTACTTCTCAGGGGACCCCTGACCTAGGACCCTTCCTGGGGCCTCTTGCTCCCTGGAGACACCCCCCACTCACTTGCCGGGCAGCACTGCCTGCCCAGTCCCCAGCGGTGGCCTCAGGCAAGTGGGCACAAAGTTCGGGGCCTGCACTCTGTGCTGTGGTTTCTGTTGTCACCCAGGAGGGGAAGTGACTTGCTCAGGGTCATCTGCGGCTGCACCTGACCTGGGCAGGAGTCTGCTGACCTCCCGGGATGGCCAGGACAGCTGACCTGCCAACCACCCATGGGGGGGGCCCAGGAAGGAGCCCCGGGGGTGCTCGCCAGGCCAGGTGTTCACCCACAGGCCCAGAAGCTGTCTGCGTCTTTTCACTAGTTGAGCAGCTCCCCCCTCCCCTCTGGTGGGAGGCCAGGCCACACACACTACTGTGCCAGGATCCACCTCCTGTGCTGGAGACGGGTGAAAAGGCCCCAGGGGCAGCAGGCCCATCGCTGAGGCCTTCCCGGGAGAGCAGTGCAGGAGGGCTTCCTGGAGAAGTTGCCTCCGGGCCATCAGGAATTTCCCAGCCAGACCTATGGTCCAGCTCCTCCCCTAGCGGACTTTGCAAGGGAAACAGGCCCTTTGCAACATTCTCCCGTGATGATGAAAGATGGTCAATTTTTGCTCTTGTCCCTTTGGGCCTGCTTTATGCTCTGCAGCGTGATTTCCAGGAAAACACCCGGGGAGGCCAGCTCCCCTCGGGCTCCACCCAGTGATGGAGGCAGGCCCCCGTGGCAGGGGCTCTGTGTGGGAGGGGCGGGGGGCAGGGAGAGGGGAGGAGCTGGGGGAGGGAAGCCTCGGCCCACATGTGTCTAGGCCTGAGGCTGATTCTGAAGCCCCAGCCAGCAGGAAAAGCTGCACTCAAGGCAGGAGGCCCAGATGACAGGACCCCCCCCCCCCACCAGGCGTCCCATTCCGCAGATCTGTTCCCTGCAGCAGGACCCCAACACTGCCCACCCCGCACCCCACCTTCCGGCAAGCCGGCCTTTCAGTGCCTGAAAGGTCACTGCGGGGCCGGGGGTGGGGGTGCGGCAAGCTGTGCGTTCTTCAAACTCCTGTTCTGTGGGGAGCTGCTTGCTTCTGGGCTGGGGTGCAGGGGAGACAGAGCAACCTTTCGGTACTGCTCTGATTTTGAACAATGTGACCTATCCCCCCATTGAAGTAAAAATATGAAACATCTAGCAACTAAAAGGCACTGGAGGTTGAGGGTACGTGTGGGGACAGGAGGGCGTGCTGGATGAGGCGGCCCTCGGAAGGACTCATCCGAGCCCCCGGGGCCCCAGGAGCGGAGAAAGTTCCAGTTTTGCCAAGCAATTCACAAGGTGGGGGCCTGGGCTGAGACCCTGGGGGTTCTCCCCATGGGCCCCCATATGGTGTGGGGGCTGCAGAGCACATCACAGGGCCTGACTTCCTGGCCTAGGGCTCCGAGGCACTGTAGCCTCCTCCTTCCAGCCTCAAGCCCAGCGCGACGGGGCCCGGCTGGGGAGGTGCAGAGAGGGCCTGGGGATGGACTGCGGGCAGCCAGCCCTGCTGGGGCCCAAGCCGCCGGGTCCCCAAAGAGACTTCTCTGTGGTAGCAAAGGACGGAAGTGAGATTGGGGAGCAAGGGTGGCCCTGGGAGCACTTCCCAGGCAGTGAGGGGCCCAGAGAGAGCCTCTGGAGGTGCTGCTCACACACGCGCGCACACACATAGAGACACATGCACGTGCACGCACACACAGGCACATGCACACACAGACACGTGCCCCCCACACACCCCGGCCATGTACAGGGTCCCTTCCAGGAAGGAAGGGGCAGGGGTCACCAGCAAGGAAGGAAGAGGGAGAGGCCGGCAGGCATGGCGGTGACACGCCGAGGGCAGCGAGGCTGCTGCCAGCGCCTGGGCGGCTCCACTCCCTGCCTCTCCCCACGCTCCTCCCGCATGCTCGGTGCCGCGCCACAGGGGAGCAGCTGCGGGTCCTCTCAGAGCAAAGGGCCAGTGACTGCCGGGGACGGCCAGAGCCGGCACCTGCCCAGCCTGCACTGCGTGGCCTCTCCTGGCCCCACCTTGTGAGGGGCATCGGGCCCCACATCAGGGCCCAGCCGGGAGCCGTGCCCCAGAGGGCGCGGGGCAGGGGCGTGTGGGGGTGGACACTCCATCCCCAAGGGACTGTCCTCAGGCCAGCCGGCTGGGGCTCACCTACTACAGCTGCACCTCCAGCCTCCTCACTGCCCCCTGCAGGCCTGGGCGGGAGCCCCAAAAATCTCTCAGAGCTGGCCCTGTCCCGAAGACCCTCAGCTCAGAGCTCAGAGGTGGAGACCAGGGGCCGCTCTCAGCCCCCGAGAGAGCCCGGCGTGCACGCCAGCAGAGCCCAGGGAGGGAAGGAGAGCGGGGCCGGGCAGCGGGAGGAGGGGCCGGGCGGGGGTCACTGCCTGGCCGGCCCCAGGCTGCCCGGCTCCATGAGAGGCGTGTGGACAGCACATGGCCACCCAGCCCGGGTGGCAGCACACGCCGCACACGCCCGCACGAGCTTCCTCAGCAGACAGGCTGGTTGACAGCTCCGGAAGTTGCTTCCCACCCCACCCCGGATGCCAGGATGGCCAGATATTCCAGACGCTTCGAGAGGCCTCGGGGGCCTGGCGTGGCGTGGTGGGACCATCGCGAGTCTGGCAGAACCAGCCTAGGACTCCGGTCTCGGCCACCCTCTGGCCCCGGCCCCTGGACTCCAGGGCTGCCCTGCAGCCTCCTGCTCATCCCGACCTAGACTTGGGGAGCTGAGCCTCACCCCCAGACACGCTGGGCCCACGGGAACTCACGTCGGGGCCGCCTGGCCGATGGGGCTCCGGCCGGGAAAAGCGCGTCCTGTCCCCAGACCTGGAGGACGGCCTAGGAGCCGCCTGTGGGGCTCAGCCTGACTCAGCCCCTGCGCCGCCTCCAGGGCCTTCCCCACCCACCACCACAGGCGTGGCCACCCCTGAGTCCAGGGCCTCGGCTTCTTCTAGCAGCCAGGCCGGGCCAGGCCCCTGGGCACGGGCCAGAGGGGGCAGGGGCTGGCTTTATGGCCGGGAGGTGGGGGATTGCCCGCAGCCCCCCACTGGGGACCCACCCTCCCCCGCCCCCTCACCCCCCGCAGCCTGGCCCGGAAATTCAGCCCCAGGACCTCAGTGCCCAGGCAGGGCCCAGGGTAGAGGCTTCAGGGGCTCCCAGGGGAAGCCTGGCCAGGACCAGAGGGGATTAGGATCCATCCCTACCCCACCCTATCACCCCTCCCTGCCTGAGGCTCCCAGGCCAGTGTCAGCACCACCCACCCTGCCTCCCCCCAGCCCCGCAGTCTGGGAACCCCAACCTGTTTCCTCATTCCTGCCCCACCCTCCTGCCACCTAGATTCCCATCAGGGCCTCTGGGCACTCCCTTGGCCTCAGCTGCTCCCCCCCCCCCGCCCCCCTCCCTGCCCACCCCCCACTGCGGGGTACCCAGAAGGGTGCTCTCCTGGCAGCCGCTCTCCTTTACCGGTCCCCAAATTCACCCCAGCCAGACTCAGGCTGGCCCCGCTTCACACAGCCTCCGCGGAGGGAGTGGGGCAGGGCCGCGGGCAGCGGGCAGGCAGATCAGGGCAGCGCCCCGGTCACCACATGTCAGGAGGTGCCCAGAGGAACGAAAACACGGGCCCTCCACCCCTGGCCCACCAGCACCCTTTCAGGACCCTCACCCTGACCTGGGGAGACGCCACTTCCTTGGGCTCTTCGAACCTTTGCTCACCTGGAGTCCCCTGGCCCCAGGTCAAGGTCAGGCCCAGAGACCGGGCTCCTGGCGCTGCAGGTCGCAGCCTCCCGGCCGGCCGATCTCTGGTTCAGCCCCCGGCACAGCCCAGGCTTCGCGGGAACGTTCCCAGCAGTCTCAGCTCTGGCTTTCATGGGGGGAGGGCAGGACAGGGGTGCATAAGGGGGTCACTGCAGTCCCACTTCCAGGTACTCAGCACCCCCAAACACACACACCATGCCTGAGCCTGCCCTGCAGCCCCACCTTCACTTCTAACCAAATATCTCAGGCTTGACTTGTCTCCCAGGGACCCAGGCCTGCCAGGCTCACCCGCCACTGAGCGTGGTGGACCCAGCACCCCAGCGGGGACACGTCTCTGCAGCCACCAGCCTGGGCCTTCCCAGCTCTGGACCCCCTCAGTCTCCCCACTGGTGCCATGGGCAAGAAAGGGCTCCCCACTCAACAGAGCCCCTCCAGAAGCCCCCTCCCCCACCCCCAGGGCACAGGCACCGCCTACTCCCAAACAACTTGGCCCTGCCCCTCCCTAGGGAGGCACCATTTTAATTCACATTTATTTAAAAAATAAATACTGTACTTTCAAACTAGTGGTGATGCCGGGCAGCTGGGCAGGGAGGCAGTCCTGATGGGTGGCAGGAGGGGCCCTCTGCTCCGCCCCCCAGATGCCTGTCATGCCTGTCCCAGATGTTCCTTGTGGCCCAGCCAGCAGCCCTGCTGAGCTGGAGACAAAATCCCTGGACCGAGGACTTCGGGCTGGGCAGGGCAGAGAGTGCCTCAGCAGCTGGGGGCTGCGCCTTCCCAGACCCCTAGGAGAAGCCCAGGGCCAGGCGGCTAGATGCAGGTGATCAGCAGGTCCATGGAGTTGGGCACCTCGATCTCCTCGAAAAGCACGTGGCTCTCCAGGGCCTCGGCACCCCTGGACTTGGCGGCGGCCCTTAGCAGGTCCTGGGCGCGCTGCAGGAGCTCGTGGTTCCGCCGGCGGCCCAGGCGGCGTAGGGCCAGGATGGCCAGCACGTGGTCTCGCCTGCAGAGACAGAGGGATGTCACTGCCCACCCAGCCCCCTGGAGACCCCGCTAACCCGGTGAGGGAAGCCCTGGACTCAGGCTTGGGAGTCCAGCCAGCCCGGTGATTCCCAGGCCAGTCTGCAAAAGGCCAGGCCAGGAGACGGTGCACCCCAGGGGTGGCAGGTGGACCCAGGTCTGGGAAGCCATGGGAGGGGTGAGGCAAGCTGGCAGGGTCCAGCCAAAGTGGCCGCAGGCTGGGCAACTATCAGGCCGGCTCCTGACACAGTGCAGGGGAGGGCCCGGTGGCGCGCGACCGGAGCTGAGCGACAGTCCTGCGGGGGCAGGCAACTGTCCGGGTGGGGGTGCCGTGGACCGGGCAGGGACTGAGCCCGGGGCTTTTTCCAGGAATCCCCAATTCAGGCTGGGAATTCCACAGGTTTATGACTCACCATTCCCCCCAACACACACCCAGGGATCAAAGTCTCCTTTCTCCTGGCCGGGCCTCAAGAATCTCCGGGCTTCCAGGCGGTGGGGGGCCCCACCTCCCTGCAAACTCTGGGGGCCACCATCACACTGGGAGGAGGGACCCGACCACCCTCCGACTGCAGGGGTCTCTCCACCCCACCACGGGACTGACAGGACTGACCGAGGGTGGCGCGGTTGCCCGGAGGAGGGCCAGTACCCTCGCGCACAGGGGCCCACTTGCTGGCCTGGCTTGAGCACCCCACCCCTCCCTCCCGTGGAGCCGGAGCAGGTAGGGTGCGGACCTGATGTCGGGGTAGCTCCCGATCAGTTTCTCCAGGTGCTTCTGGATGTTGGCTTTGTGAGTCTCGCCTAGTATGTCCGCCACGCGCGGGATGGCCTGGCCCAGCCAGGCGGCCTCAGATCCCTGCGGAGACAGGAAGGCGCTGCTGGGCTGGCAACGCCCCCAGGAGCCCCCAGACCCCAACCTGAAGCCCCTCCACTCGTGCCAGCCCTTCAGCACTCCAACCCCCACGCCCCCACTCCAGCCACAGCACAGCGGTGCCCACCCCCCACCGCCCCCACACCCCCATCTCCCCACACCCCGACATCCCCCACGCCCCCACCTCCAGCCACAGCACGGCGGTGCCCACCCCCACCTCCCGAATATCCCCCCATCCACAGCGCGCGGTGCCTACCCCCACCTCCCCCACGCCCCCGTCAGTCACAGCACCACAGCGCTCACCCCCACCTCCCTCATGCCCGCCCCGTCACAGCAAGGCGGTGCTCACCGCCCCCCATACAGCACACAGGTGTCTCCCCATCTCTGCACAGAACGAGAAACCGAGGCCGAGGGGAGGTTCTGCCTGGAGCCAGGCAGTGGACACCGCAGCCAGATGAGGCGCAGGGAGGGGCCTGGGGGGCCAGGCGGCAGGGGCAAATGGCAGAGAGGCCTCCCGGCAGGTGGGATCCTCACCCCTCCCCTACTGGCCCCACGGGCTGCATGCAGATACACACAGAGCCGCGCCCCGCCTGCCTCCCGCCCAGCCCAGGGCTCTTGCAGAGGCTGAGCTGAAATGAGAATGGGGGTGCTGGTGGGTCCCCCTCCCCCAGGTCACAGTCTGTCTCCGAGGAGGCCACTCCTGGCTCGGCCGCGCCCGCCTACCAAGCCCTGGAAGGTGTTGTGGATGGCCTGGGCCTCCTGGCCCATCTTCTGGGAGCCGGCCACTCGCGCGGGGCCTCGGAAGCGCTCGCGCGGCTTCAGCACCTGCGCCAGGTACTCGCGGACCACGTATCGGTGCGCCTCCTGCAGAATCTCCTGGGGTTCGGGTCAGGGCATGGTCAGGGTAACCACTTGGCCCTGGGGGTGCCACCCCGGCCTCCACCCCCTCGAGATACCTGTCCCCGCGGCGGGACGACGTGCTCGAGATGGCGGGCAAAGGCCACCACCTTGTCCATGAGGGGCGTTAGCGGGTCCTGCGTCAGCCAGTCCTTGGTGCACACGGCGCTGAAGAGCGGCTGGGCAGAGGGATGGGGGGAATCTTTGGCCCATCCTCCCCATCCACTGCAGCCCTCCTCCACGGGCCCAGACAGTCTTTAAGGCTAAGGAACATTCTGTCGCCTGGAAGATACTCTGGGGGGCGATGTGACCCCTTCTTTACCAGATGCTCTGGGGGCTTCTCATCTACCCCGAATTTTGTCTCTAGGCCTTTCCCTGGCAGGAGCTCCCTGCAGGATGTGCCTTTGGGCCTCAGGCCAGTTTGCCAAAGGTGGGGAGCTGGGTCAGGGGCCTGGACCCACAGTGGGGGCTTGGGTCTTTCCATTGGGAGGTGGGGGCCAAAGTAAGGAGGTAGGTGTTACCTGATCATCCCCGCTCGGTAGAAAACTTGCCCGGGTGGCGCATCCACCACAGCACCCCACCCCTGGAACTGCCCCTGGGGTGTCTGTGCTGTGCCTGGGAAAGCCAGGCTCCGGGCACCGGCACCTGCTGGGCATGGTGAGAAGGGCCCTTCCCATTCACCTGCACATCACGCTGCAAGCCCTGGAGCAGGTGCTTCTGGAAGGTGCCGGTGGCAGCCACCAGGGGCTTCTGCAGCCCCTCAAAAGTTCCTGGGAACTTGGCCGGAAGACTGGTCCTGGGGAGGGGCCAGGGCAGGTGGCAGAGTGGACAGGGGAGCAGAGAGGAGGACAAGAGCAGCATACAGCCCACAAACTAGGCACTACACGGCCTCCACGCACTTAGACTAAAATGTGAGGCCACCCCTGGGGCTGCAATGTTTCTGAGACAAGGAGGACAGAGCACCAAGGCCAAGTGATTGCAGAGGGGCAGCTCAGCAGGTGGGGTAGCCCCACCGCCTGGCAGTTTCCCTGGGGCAAACCTCCACCCCTCTTGGTGACGGGATGGTGCCTGGCAGGGGGGCCTCCTGGGAAGGTAACAATGTCTCCATGTCACTGTTGACAAAACTCAGGGCGAGGCTCTGTCCCATGCCCAGCTCAGGGACAAGAAGGACAAGCCAGAGTTCATGGCGGGGGCCAGGGGCTGCCTACAAGGGTCAGAAAACACTTCCCGGGGCAGAACCCCAGGGCCCCCACGCCCCGGGGGGCCCTGCACAGATCAGGGACACTGTCCAAGCAGTGGAGCCCCAAGGTGCTCACACCCATGCTCGGGCTCCAGTCCAGGCCCAGCACTGGGCTGTGTGACCTCGGACACGCGTGGGGCCTTCCCGAGCCCCTGCTTTCCCTCGCGTGAGGATGCGGCACTTGGCTGACTGTCCCCAGCGGAGGGGGCGCTCGGCCTGGCACACCACAGGTGCCGCAGAGAGCAAATGTGCGCGGAGTCCTCCACGGCAGAGGGCGAGGGAGCAGGCGCCGGGTCTGCGTGGGGCAGGTAAGGAAGGGCCCCCGGGGGACAGGGGCTGGGATCCCAGGCCAGACAGCCGGGTCTGGCTTGCTGACGGGCCCCTGCCTGCCCCCCACTTCCGCCTTTCCCTGTCCCCTCCCTCCCCTGCTTCTCCCCCTTCCCCACCTGGCCCTCTGGAGTCCCCCCTCGCCGCCCCCCTCAGTCTCTGTCTCCGGTGCTGCAGGGGCCCAGGGCCCACCCACAGCCCAGCCCTAAGTCAGGGGGTGCTCCTGAGAGGAGGAGGTCTCCCCAGAAGGGAAGAAGCTGGCTGGGAGGACGTGCGGGGAGAGGGACGCGGCCGGAGAACTCGGGCCCCTGCGGCGCAACAGGCAGGGTCTGGGGCAGCTGGACATTCTCAGCCTCCGCCCAGCCTCCGCCGCCCGCACCCCTTCCGGGGCCAACGGAGGACGCCGCGCAGGCGGGGTGGGGGTGGGGTGGGGGTGGGGGTGGGGTGGGGGCGCAGTCCCGGGAGGCCGCCTGTCCGCCCTGGGGAGGCCCAGCGCCCTCCCCGCCTCCCGGACTCGCGCGCCCCCTGCTGGCCGCGGCGGGCAGCGCCCCCAGGAGCCGCCGGGCGCTCACCTGAGCTCCTCCAGGGCGTTGATGCTGGCGCCCAGGTGCGGTGCGCTCACCTCCCCCGACGCCAGAAAAGCCTTTTCGAAGCTGGGGGCGCGGTACGCAGAGGCCGTCGGGACCCTTCTGGAACGTGCTGTGACCCGGAGCCCGCCCTCCCCTCAGGGCGCCCCCAGGCGTCGGGCCTTAAGAGGTGGGTCCCCTCCCCCCTGTCGCGGGATCGCAAACCCCAAGTTCCCAGACCGCCCGTGCCACCCCGCCCGCCTGGCCACGCCTCCCGCCCCACCCCGCGGCCGCCGCACCTGGGCAGGAAGAGGCCCAGTGCGCGGGCACAGATTCCCTGGGTGGTGGCCTCCAGCTCTGGGGAGATGGCCCCGGCCGCCTTCACGTGCTCCGCCACGAGCTGCCCGCAGAGCCGCAAACTGAGCGTGTGTGAGCCCCAGTGCAGGGCCCCAAGCCTCCAGCGCCCCATCTCCAGCCTGGGGCCAACCTCCCCACCCCCACGCAGAGGGCCACGCTGGGAGATGTGCCCTGGGGGTCCCGCCTCTGCGTGCAGCTGGCTGGGGGTGTGTCCAGTCTGCCCCTGTGGGACCTCAGGTCTGAGGGGTGGGGGGTCAGGCTGGCATCTACAGCTCTGGGTGTCCACGCAGCCCTGCCTGCGGCCAGATACAGCCTGTGTGCCCTGCTCAGCGCACCATGTGAACGTCGAGGGACAGCGGCGTGTGGTAGTGGCCCTGCAGCACCTCGGGGGTCTCGGGGTCCCCCCAGCGGCTCCGCTCCAGCTCTAAGATGTTCTCGAAGCAGCTCCAGATCTTGGTCTGGAAGGGTGGGAGGGGCTGTCGCGAGAGCTCCCCAGGAAGGAGGGCAGGGGTCCCCTGCCTCCTCAGCCCCTGTGCACCCCTGGAGACAAGGGGCCGAGGTCTGCCGGAAGTCAGGCCAGGTCTGAGGCACACTCAGCTGCCCCCAGGCCCTCCGGGGCGCCAACCTGCAGGCCACTGGGTGAGGAGTGGCTGAGGCCTGAACCCCGGCCAGCTTGGCCGAGGACACCCCCTGCCCCCGTCCCCACCCGCCTCACCTCAAGGAAGCTGGTGTAGTCGCTCTCCAGCCGGGCCCACACCTCAGGGGCCAGGAGTGGGGGCAGCGGCTCTGCGGGCAAAGCCAGGTCTGGGGCACCCAGGAAATCAGGACTGGAAGGCAGGGCGGGGGGCTGAAGGCCTGAATGGGGGCCTGGTGCCCTCCCCTCACCCCCAGCCAGGCTCGAAGCCAGCGCCTGGCCGCAGGCAGAACCTGGGCTTCTGCTCACACACTTGCCTCCCCCACCGCATCCTCCGTCTTCCCGGCCCACCCTGTCCCTCCCAGCAGCCTCCCCAGGCGCCCGGCTGCCAGCTGTGCCGCCCAGGATGCGCAAGGACCTCAGCCTGGCTGCCTCAGTAGTGGCCACTACCCTCGAGGTCGGGGCACAACCAAGCCCGGGCCCTAAGCACCCTGGAGCCATACAGCTCACTTCCCAGCCCACATCAGGAAAGCCAGGTTGGGGGTTACCTGCCTGAGGACACCCTGCAAATGCAGTAGCGAGCCCAGGGCTGTAGGCACCGCCTCCAGTCCAGAGAGGGGATCCGCCCCATCACCCAGAACAGTCGGAGGTGGAAGCTCCCGATGGGGAGACAGGTGAACCCCAACTCCACCCACTGCGAGCCCCGGGGTGCTGCCTGGAGGGGTGCTATTTCCCTTCTCTCAAGGTGGCTGGCAGACGGGCCCCTGACTGCGCTCCCTCCCTCCCCTTCACACCTTCCAGCTCTGGGAATGGAGAACGGGGACCCCTTAAAAACACCCCATCAGAGTGCACGGGGCCTGGGACTCAGGAAAGAATGTCGAAGCCTCTGCCCCCCCCCAGGATCTTGGGCCCCCAGTCCACAGCCTTCCCCCAGGGAGCAACGGCCCTGCCCTTGGTGGTCGCTCTGAGGTCGGGGGGCAGTGCCAGGTGAGTGGAGCAGCCCCTGGCGGGCGCTGGCCGGCCTCACCTGCTGTACACGTTGGCGGCCCAGTCCAGCAGCAGGTAGAGCTGCTCGCAGCCGCGCGCGTCCGTGGCGAGCTCCTGCAGGCGCTGGGCCACGGCGCCGTGGAAGGCGCGCAGGTAGACCTCCCAGGCGGGAAAGCCCGCGGCCGCGTAGGTCGGCTGCACCTCCAGCTGCACCTTCTGCAGGTCCCGGCGGACCACGGCGCCGAGGTCCGCCAGCAGCCGGGCCAGGTTCGAGGCGCCCTCGGCCGCCCCGGGGCTCTCCGGCGCGCCGGCCTGCAGGACGCGCTCCTGTGCGCTCTGGCGGACGGCTTCCTCCCAGAGCTGGCGCCAGCGGCGCGGCGTGCGCAGGAAGTCGCCGTCGGCGGGGGGCGCGGGGTGGGCCGCCTCCTCGGCGCACACCACGCGGGTCAGCTCGGCCAGCGCGGCCGCGTCCACGCCGTCGGGGCCCAGCGTCTCGCGCACGATGGCGCCAATCTGGGCAGCCAGCGCGTCGTAGTGCAGACACACGTCCATGGCCTGGCGCGCGAAGCCCGTGGGGTCCTGCTGGAAGGTGTGTGAGTTTCTGCGGGTCACCAGCTGCGACTCCACGTCCTGCAGCTGCTGGAAGGCCACCAAGAGCTGCCGCTCCGTGATGAGGTCAGCCACGGATTTGTCTTTTGCAAAGACGCGGGGAAGAAGGGTGTGAGGGGTGTAAGTAAGGTCGGTGGGGGTCTGACCCTGGGGGGGAGGGGGCAGCCTCCAAGCTCCCGCCGAGGCCCGCCCCAGGAACTGCCGCCGCGTCACCCCTGTGAGCCAGAAACCAAACCTGGCTGGAGGAGCCACGGGGGTCATTCCCTGCCTTCCCCTTGCCTCATCCCTGCTCCCACCCGCAGCTCTGCTGGCCGGACCTGGGGGCCCCCAGGGCAGTCCTGGCCACTCGTCCAAAGGGTCAGAGCTCAGGTATGTCCGGCTCCTGCCCCAGGGCCCACATTCAGCATGTGCTGCCGGTCCCTGCCTGCTGCCTGCCCCACGCCAGAAATCCCCTGCCTGCACCCCACCCTGGCCCCGCTCTGGGGATGGTCCCCTGGGCAGGCCCCTCACCCCTCCGGAGAGCTCCCCGTCCCTCTGCAAGCCCAGGCCTGGCCAGCGCTCTGTCCCTCCGGGAGCGGGCTGTGGGGGAGCTCGGGCCCTGGAGCCGTGTGGATCTGGGTTCAAATCCCAGCTCTCTGCTTCCCAGAGGGGGACCGAGGCCAGTCACCTCACCGCTGAGCCCCCCTCTGCCCCTCTGCCCGGTGGGCACTCCTTACTGGAAAGCTGGAAAAGCTTAACTGCAGGTGTGGGGTGGGGCTTGGGGGGCTTGGGGGCGCTCCGGCCCCTTTCCTTCCACATGGCGCCGCTGCTTCCACGTGGTCCTCACCTGTCTCGGGGCCTGCGTCCTCCGGCCTGGCGCCCAGGGATGACTGCCTGCTCACTCCGCCGCCGACCTTGGCGGGCACCCCGGGGCCCGGGGCCGCCCCTGGTGCGGAGGCGACCTGGGTCTGGTCAGCAGTCGGCTTGCTGGTCAGGGGACGCCGGATGGACCGCATCAGGAAGCGGGAGCTGCGCCGCAGCAGGCCCACGCTGTCCTCAGGGCTCTGCGCCAGCGCCTGGGGGCTCACTCGGGAGAAGGCCCGCCGCAAGGTGCCGAAGCCGGGCTTGGAGTCCTCCCGGGGGGTGCTGGGCACATCCTTGCTGTTGGACTTCCTGGACTGCCCAGGGGTCTGTGGCCCCTTGGGCTTCTCCGGACTGTGCGGCTCCGGCCCAGAGGACGCTGACCGTGATGATGGCATCTAGGCTGCGGGAGAGCTGCGGGCGACAGATGCTCAGGGGATGGGGGCCGCCTAGCCCCGGACTCCAGGCCCAGAAGCTGGAGAGAGCCCGTGGGGCTGGCAGGGCCCGGCAGCTTTTGATGAGAAGCTTGCCCCAGGAGGCGACCCTGGGCTGGCTCAGAGGAAGTGTCACCAGCAGCCTCCAGTCCCGAGGCAGGCGGCAGCTGGAGCTGAGATGCAGACAGCAATCCCTTCCTCGGCCTCCCTGGCTCCACCCCCGCCCCGCCCGCCCAGGACCTGTCCCCACCGGGCTGCCAGGTCAGACCCTCCCAGCAGAATAGGGCACAGGGCACGGGCCCCCACAGCTCTAGCCCCAGGGCTGCCCCGACAACACAGCCAGGGCCGCCTGGATCTGAGGCCCTGATGCCGCAAATGTCCGCCAGCACCCGCCCCTGCGTCCCGCTCCCAGAGCCGGGCTCACCCCCATTCAGCTCATCAGGCCTAACTGCTTCTGCTCAGAGGGGCACTTGGGGCCGCCGTGGGAGGCCACCTCCTCCCCTGAGCGTCTCAGAACCGCAGGAGGCAGGAAGGGCTGAGGGTACTGACCAAAGGCACTGGCAGGGGCTTATCAGGGCCTGCAGCCTGGGTGGGAGGGGCCAAGGGTCTATATTTAACCAGGGCCGGGGGGGGGGGGGGGGGGTCCCTCTGCTGCTTCTCACGGTGCCTCTCCTTCCCACCCACCCCAAGGTGTGCTCTGGTCCCTTCCCTGGGGTGGGGAGGGGCCCCTGAGGCCTGGGGGTGCGGCACAGGCCCCCACCCTGGACCCCTGGGGCATGGGCCCTGTGAGTCTGGCCCAGCCAGCTGGGCTCTTTCTTCTCTGTGGGTTAAGCTGGGGGGCGGGGGCATCTTATGGGGGCCACCCTCCCACCGCCGTGCACAGGGGCGGAAAGTGGCCAGCAAGCTCTCATTTTGACCTTGAGAGTGTGGGCTGGAGAGAGCTGGACCGACAAAGTCAAGCTAGAGCAGAGCCCTCAGCCTTCTCCAGGGCGCCCCCACCCAGGCCAAAGGCCAGGCTGGAGCCGGCGCCTGACCCTGACCCTGGGGTGACATTGGGCAGCAGCGGCCCCTCCCCAAATCTGTTTGCCAGGGGCAGTGACACTAGAGTCCACAGAGGCCAGACCCTCACCCCACACACCCTCCAGCAAGCTGTCCAGAGGTCAGACGTGGGGGCCTCCTCTCTGTGCCGGAGGCCGCGGGCTCAGGAGGGACAGGCCAGGTGATTGATGGGGCCTTATCAGCCCCGCCCGGCCACAGGTCACCGTCCTCCCCGGGTCCAGCACTCGGGAGCCCTGCCCTCACTTGATGGGCCTGTGCTGGCAGGCGCATTGCCGCGGAGCTCCTTGTGCCTCCTGCACTCTCCCCTTGCCGGTGACCCTCAGAGCCCTGCCCTGCCAGTGCGGGAGCCGGGAGAAAGAGAACATTCCAGACTGCCTCACGCTGTCCCGGGGGGTGCGGGGAAGGCTGAGCCGGGTCCTGTCTTGGTTGGGGCGGACTCATGATGAGCTAGCCCTGCTGTGTGCCCAGCCCCATGCCTGGCACACATGGGATCCCAGGACAACGAAGACCCTGGGAGTGGGGCCTGGACCTGCCAGGTCTGTCTGGAATCCTGGTAGGGGCTGGGCTGGTGCCAGGGAGCCCAGCTGGGTGATTCCCCGATGCCAGGAGTGGGCTGGACTTGGAGGCCCTTTTCCAGGAACCTGGAGGTAGGTTCTGGGGGTGGCACCAGCAGTTGGAGATGGGTCTCCAGGGAGGTTGCACAGGCAGAGACTTGGGGCCACCCAGGCGACTCAGCCACCTTTGTCCCAACCCAGGGCTGCACCAAAGGCTCAATGAGTCCCCGTGGACGCCTCGGCCTCCCGACTCTGCTCACAGCGGCTCCCCAGCTGCGCTTGACCGTCCCGAATCTCAGGTCCCACCAGGTACCCCCTCCAACCCCAGACCCATCCACGACTCCCCACAGCCTTCCATTCGCACCCCCGGCCGCCTTGCCCCGGCTTCACCACATCCAGGCCCCTCGCCAGCCTCCCCCAGCCCCGCGCCCAGCCTGGCTCCGTGCTGGTGGCTGCCCCTCGAAGCCCGTCTTTGCTCTGCAAACCTAACCTGGACCTGAGGGCACACTGCGGGGCACCGTGAGAGTCCCCGGGCACCACTGACCTCCGCTAGGGCGGGTCCCGCAGGCTGGTGTGACAGGGTGTGGGCAGTGCCCGCTGGGCTGAGCTGCAGGCTCCCTGCTGTCTCTACCTTGGCCCCTGTCCCACACCTGCCGCCCCACACCCACGGGCCTGTCCCTGGGGCTGTGTGTGTGTATGTGTGTGTGTGCACACGCACGCGCACCCGGGCCTTTCTGCCCCTCCGCCGCCTTGAGTGTCCAGAGCAGCCCTGCTGAGCTTCAAGGCCCGGAGACCCAGGCTTGCCCTGAGTCCCAGGCCACCCTCATCCGGGGGTACCCCTCAGAAGACATGGTCATCAGGCACCCCACCTGGAGCCGCACTCTCTGGTCTGGGCTCAGCTTCTGCCCATCCTCCTAGACCTCATTCCACATCCCCCCAGGCAGCACCCAGTGCCCACCCCACCCCCAGTCTCCCCACCTCCCGGCGCCTGGGTCATCACCCCTACTCTGGTGCCCCCTCACCTCCCACCCACCATCCCCATCACAGGTCCTGACTGTGCCTTTCCCAGACCCCTTGGGTCCCACCTCCTGGGTACACTGGGGGGTCGCCAACCCTCACCCCACTCCAAACCCTTCCTGCCAGCTGGGTGTCCTCCCCGAAAACAAGGGAGGTGACAGACAAGTGTGTTCTCACCATCCTGTCCCACATTCGCCCGGAAGGGCTAGTGAAGGCAAGAGCCAGGGAGCCCGATCACCAGGCTCGGAAGAGGTGCTGCTTCCCCACACTGGGGCAAGCCCTTCTGGGCACCAGGCCACCCCTCAGCATTGGGCCCCTCTGGGCACCCAGCCACTCCCTCTCCCCCCCACCTCCTGCTCACCACTCAGACGCTCTCCCTCCACGCGCCTGCGCCTTGGTGCAAGCTGTTCTTCTGTCAATGGTGACCCGGCTCCCACCCTCTGCCATCGGCTAGGAAGTTCTGGAGAAGTGGCTCCTCCTCCAAGGAGCCTTCCCTGACCAGCTGAGCTCTGGACCCAGCCAGCACTTCCTGCTCTGGGCCTGGGCACACCTTCTCCAGTGATGGAGGAACAGTTACAGGGTCTGGGGCACTGGCCTCTTACCCAGTGCCCTTGCCCTAAGGCGGGCGTGGGCCCCACCCAGCCCCCGGCCAGGGCACATACACAGCAGGTGCCCGAGGAGAGCAGATGAGCCCGGGGGTGTGCGTGCACACCAGCACGGCGCCCACATTCGTGTGCATGGGCTTCGCAAGCCAGCGTGTGGCCTGAGTGTGGCTCTGTGCACGTGGGTGCCTCCCAGGGTCTGCCGGCGGCCCTCCCCCGTCCGAGTGTCTGCATGATTGTCTTTACATCTGTGTCTGTCTGCTTTTGGGCTGTGCGTGTGTGCACGCATGTGTGTGTGTGTATGTGTGTGTGCACGCATGTGTCCACTGTGGTTTCAGCTGGCTCTGGCTCAGGGTCCAAGCAGAGGCCCAGGGCCCAGGGCCACTAGCACAAGGTCTGTTGTCCTCTGTCCTCCAGGGCCCCACCCACTTCCCTTAGGCGTCCAGCCCTCCCACCCCACCTGCAGGAACATACCTGTTGGCACGGAGATGTTGGGCCTCCGGCAGAGGGGCGCCGGGCGGGCCGGCCAGCAGTGTCCCCACAGCCAGGCCGGAGCCGAGGGAGCAGTCAGCGAGTGGCCAGCAGCTGGGACTTCCCAGCGGTGGTCAGCCTGCCAGGGTCCACCGCCCCGCCCCCAGTCCCACCCTCCTCCCTGACCTGCTTTCACTTTCAGCTCTGGTCCATCCTCCCCTTCAGAAGAGGTCCATCCTCTGCTTCAACCTTTGCCTCCTGGCAGCCTGGCTCAAGCTGGGCCAGGGCAGGGGAGGGAGGAGCAGAGGGTGGCGGTGGGGTGGGCCCTGTCCTGGGGAGACCCCTCTGGCAGCCGGTCCCTCCTGGGGCAACACTGAGGCAGACGACCAGGCGAAGGCTGTGGGGGCAGCACCCGTGCCCTCACTTAGAGCAGGGGGCTGCTTCCAGGCCTCCTGTCCACCCAGCTCGTCCTGAGGACCAGGGGAGTAGAAAGGGATCTAGAGGGGATGGCCTCAGGCCAGCAAAGGGGACAGCGAGCCCCAGGCCATCCAGAGGGCTCTGGGGGAGAGGGCTCTTAAAGGCAGGCAGGTCCCCTGGTGGTGCGGGCAGGTGAGTGCAGTGCTGTGAAGCTGTCCGCAGCCTCTGCAGCGCTGGTTTGATCCTGGCCGGCCGGCGAGGGTCCCACATGGCGCGGTAGACCTCTCCTGTCTTGCCCGCTGCTCCCCTCAGCAGTGTATTTCGTCAGTCTGCCTGTTCTGCTCCCCACTCTGTCTCTGGTGAATCCGCTCACCCTCCTGGTCAGCTGGCCTGTACCCCGGTTCTTGCATAAATAAATAAATCTTAAAAAAAAAAAAAAAGGCAGGCAGGGACCCACTCAGGCCAGGTGAGGGTGCTCAGAACTGGGGTCATCCTGAGGGCAAGGTGACGTGGGGCCTGGACGCCATGGATGGATTGGGCATTAAACCCCACCCCCATGGGTCAGGCTGGAGGCATTTTGGGGGAGGCTTGCTGAGACTTTGCGGTAGATGCAGCCCCACTCCTGCACAGGGGATTTGCGGCTAGCATCAGGAAGAAGCCCTGTGGGGGCCTGCAGGTGCTACTGGGGTGCTCTGCACAGGGCACGGGGGTGCAGAGAGCAGGGTGCATGAGCTAAGCCACTGGACACAGCCTGCAGTTGGGGCGCAAACTAGACGCTTATTTTTCATAGTCCCGGGGCCAGGCCTTGCGCCTGGGCCTGCAGGCCCATCCTCCTCCGGGGCACAGGCGCTCTGCGCTGCCGGTGCCCCCTCGTCACGGGGAGCCCGGTCAGGTGGGTGAGACCCAGGCGGCTGCTCTTTATCCAGTCAACTTCTTGAAGGCCCTCCCTCCAAACACAGGCTCAGCCCAAAGTGAGGGTTTTTTAAGTACAAGCATAACAGACTGTGAGGTCCCTGAGAGACCTCCACGCTGCTGCCATTTGCCCACCCAGGTGCCAGTGCCACCTCCAGGAAGCCCTCTGGCTTGCCCGCCGAGTCTTCTGTGAAGTGGGGTCACGAGAGCCCCTGACTTCTGGGCAGACGCTTCCCCCTCAGGCTGGACTCCTCAGGCAGACAAACAGGTGGGACAAGCAGACCTCAAGCGAAGGGGCAGGGCCCAAAGTGACTGCCTAGGGCTCCTGCCATGGGGCCCCTGTGAGGGAGACGCCCTCCATTGTGCTCCTTTGACGCAAAGGCACAGCACTGCCTGGCACAGCCTGGCTTTCCCCAGGGCCGGGCTCCCAGTTTGAACACCTGGTCCACAGCTCCGGGAGCAGGTCAGGATGCTGGGCCTTCAACTGTGGGTCACTCCAGAG